CACAGCGGGAGGGGGAGGGGGTGCTCCAGGCGCCGGAGCAGATTCCCCTGCAGCCTGTGGTGAAGACCATGGTGAGGCAGGCTGTCCCCCTGCAGCCCAGGGAGGTCCAATGTGGAACAAATCTCCACCTGTAGCCCGTGGAGGGCTTCGTGCCCGAAGGGAGGAGGCTGTGACCACGTGGGAAGCCTGCACCAGATCAGGTTCCTGGCAAGACTTTGTGGACCTGTGGGGGGAGGAGCCCACACCGAAGCAGGTTTGCCACCAGAACTTGTGACCCCGCAGGGGACCAGCTCCATGATTAGCTATGTGGCTTGCAAAGCACAATGATCTGTAAAAAGACAGCTAGAAAAACTCAGCTGGCCTCCCTCGTGGTCCTGAGTCTTGGCTGGTTGGGTTTCTATGCTTAGGTAGAGCTGTCATGGGCAAAGCAGTCTTCTTCCACCAGATGCAAGGATGAAGAACTATGTGGTACAGGGACTGATAGAGATCTTACATTGGTCACATGAGCTAGAAGCTACAGTGCTAAGAGCTCCACTTCACTTTTAAGTTACCTTCCAACCATTTGGTACTCTCCAGTTAAGTACTGGTGGTACTTGCTCATACAATGCCGATTAAAAAAACATGCGTGTTGGGGGTCACCTCCTGCCCAAGCTCTTTAGTGTCATATGCAGTTCTCCTTAGAAGGCTGGACAGTGGCATTCATGCTTAGGCTTCAGCGCAGTTAGGCTACTGTATGCACTTAGCAGGGACTGCAAAACCAAACATCCTCCTCTTAAGAGGTAGCCTTAGCAGATGCTGCCAGTGCAGGTAAGAAGGTGGCTCTGCTTCTTTAGGCTCTGAAATGCTGATAATCACTGGGGAAAGACAGTTCAGATCTTGTCTTGTGCTTTTGCTACCCTTCTTCCCTCCCAGTAATGGATGTAAAGGCTGGTCTGCCCTCACTGGAGTCCATGATTTTCATGGTATGGGCTGCTCTAAAGGATATAAGGCCAGCATTAAATAACCAGATAGCACAGTACTGCAGCTGTTCTGTGAATAGCTCATGTTTGCTCCCCATGGGATTGCATACACTTGGGAGCTGCTGTTCATAAAACCTCTGGAACACAATAAAGTACCTGAAGTGTGAAGGAGGTTTCTGAACAGTGGAGGAAGGATAAACAAACAAAGTCATGATTATACTATTAAATATCATTTTTTTTATTCTTTTTTCTTATTTTATAAACCCACAAACCTCTGAGGGAAAACTGCAAGGACTTCTGCACCACTTGCACATATGCAGCAGGTTCTTGTCCAGTTGACAGAAAAAGATGTTTCCAAAAGCATTTGAAGAACCATTTTCTTAGCAGGACTAGATGTTAAAGGTGCTTAGAGTAAAACTTTTCAAGTGTTTTTTAGTCTTTCATGTTTTCTCTATGCCTGTACCCTCCTTTCAGCTGCTAGGGAAAAACACATCTGGAGTCTGAGATATCAAAAATATCCTAGCTTTAGGAGGTCTGGAAAGCAAAAGCCTGGTCCCACTTTTAGTCAGGCATTCCTTGTGATGCTAGAGGATCAAACAACAACACCCCTCTCTGTTAGAACCTCAACACTGTTACTCCCGACCTTGAGGAGAGTAGACCAAAGCTGCTTTCTTCTTGACCTTGGAGCTACCAGTCTGGTATTGAAGCTACTAGGAGTCACCAAGTAAACCAAGTCACCTAGGAGAAGGAACTAAGAACCCATGGCGACATAAAGCCGACTACAACTTCGTAAATAGTTAAAAGCCAGTATTTGCTGATGCAGAGAAAAACTGTGGTATAGAGGCTGCACAATTATTCCTGGAGATAGCGAAAAGGAGATCTGGTGGTATTTCTGAAGTCTGCTATGAAGACGTGAGTTCTCAGTAAGCATTCCTTGTGGAACAGAGCATGAAGTCAAGGCAACTTGTGTAGATTATATCCCAGAATTAGCCAGCAGAGTGGTTCACTACACTAACAGCTATTCAGTCCAAGATTATTGTCCAGCAGTTTGTAGAAGCTTTTTTCATTTTGGTTGGAGAAGAAGTTCAAGTGTGGAAATAGCCCTTTTTATTCCCCTGTACTAGTACATTACTGGGCTTCTGAAAATAACATCATCAGTGGTGGCCGAGTTCAATGTCAAAATAGGCCATTAAATGCAGAACAGAGGATGGTCTTGTGACTGTTCCTCCACAGGTATCTTCTTTCTGGGATAGCTGATAGCTGTTCTTTAGTTTCTCCTCGTGTCAAATAGTTGTCATTACTACAGTATCTTGAAAGTGTGCTAAAAAGCAGCTGGATGAAGACAGAACTATATGAGAGAGAAGGACTAGTTGAAGAAACATCAACCATGGTTTACCTAGGCAAGACTTCACTGGTATTTGACATACTTTGTTCCCAGGCTTCTGAATGTCTTGAAGGTGAGGCTCAGATTTGACTTTCCATCCTGCGAGCTAATGGTGAATGCGGGAAAAGAACAGAGTACCTGCAGCCACCAGAACTGCTGTGGAGATGCACTATCTCACTCTGCTGTGGAAAAGATTTCTTGAAAGGTAGAGTCTTTACGCTTGGATGTGCCACATAACTGAATTTCAGCTAACTGGCTACCAAAGAATAACCAGTCTCCTCTCTGCTAATTTGGCAAAGTAGTAGACACAAGTCCCTCGAGAAACCCCCAAACAATAAAATTCAAGTAATTTACTGTTGGCCATAGCCAGAAGACAAAGATGCTCACTGCTACACTTGTCAGTTTGTTTGGACTGCTCTGCAGGCTGTAAGCTCACTAGACCATCATCCTTTTTCCTTCATGTGCAAGCTTCTGAAATGGGACTCTGCCCTCTGAAGATGATGTAATAAATAACTGCCTCCACCAAGTCCTTCATGAACCACAATTTCCAGATGCAGCCTTTCTGATTGTAGAGGCAGCTTCCCTCATCTCCATCCACTGAAATTACTACCTGCTATTGGTGATTACATCATATTTGCTTTGTGGAAGCCTGAAAAGCTGGTCACATTGTAGACTTCTCATTTCTCATAGGTGTGAAATGAGATATCGATCCCCAAATGTTTCCTCTAATTTGACGTACCATACACGTATTTCCTACCATACATCAAGATACGCTCTTAAATAATTCAGTTGCACTTAAAGCAACATATGGGCTTACTAACAGAGGTGATTAAAAACAACAGAATTGCACATTAGTTCCTATGAAGTCAGGATGAAATTTACGAAAAATAAAAAAAGATAGTATCTCAACTAGGAAATGCTGAAGTAGTCACCAAGTATTCAGAACACTACTCAGATTCAGTAGCTGCTGTCATCAAAGAGAAGTTTTGAGCAAAGTATACCCTCCACCCATTAGGAATTTGAATAGTTCATTTCTGTAATTCTTCCAGGTACCTAGTATATTCTACGTGTAGTATAATCCAGTACCAGGCTAGCAGCTCCAAGAAGAGCAGGATCTGCTAGATTTGAGACCACTACATCCACAGTTTTAACTGAGGATAGAGCCTGTCGATTTATCACGTCTTTGACAGCGTTAACATAGTGGCTAGCTAGAACTCCAGAAAGGATCACAAGAGAGGGGTTCATGGTGTGCAGAATGTTCACAACTCCAAGGCCTAATGCTGTCCCAGCTGAAAAGGTAAAATAAAAAGAAATTAAGTAGAATACTCAAAAGCAGTTGTAGCATCAGTTGTTGAAATAGGTCTGTTAGTAGTGAATTACACTGCCAGCAAAGCATTCTATTCCATAGATCAAACAGTTTTGAGTTTATTTAATCAGATAATAGGAGTGTGCTATTAATTTTTCTTTCAAAAGGAAAAGAAAAAAAAAAGGCAATTTTATTGCACAATAATGCATTATCCAGTGATATGGATGTGAAAGACAAAACAATGCATTACCACTCTAGTAAGCTAAGAGAAAATAGGAAAGTATTATTTTACCATCTTAGTGCTATCAGCTATGTATGAGGAAGAAGACTGTCTTTAAAGCTAGTAAAACAGTAAAATATCCCATGTAAAGTACTATGTAAATTGGCTTTGCTTGCTCAGACTAGCCATTCACTTGCCTACAATGAAATGTGCCCAAATTTTCCAATATAAGAATGTTGAGACCCCACTTTTTTAACTGATCTTTGCAGAAACTTTTCATCTTCTCATTTATTGGAACACAGACTTTTAATACACACTCTGCTCACATTTTCTCCATTTATATTTAACATTTCATTACCACGACTGATTTTATATAGAGGTCCTCATGTTTGTAGTGTTACAGTGCATTACCGTCTCTGTATCCCTCAAAATCTAATCATGGGAGGGTTCCACACTTTGGGCTATGTTCTCACCTGTTCTGAGAATGCTGTCTGCTTTTGTGTTCCCGAGTTTAGCTGCTTGAATGAGATGTGCAGCGCTAACAACCTCCTCTTTCTTCATTGACATTCCTTCTACTAAAAGCAGATCCTCTGTTTGAAGAGGAGGAGAGAAGTAAAGAGAAAAACATGGTGATGTGGTAAGTCAAGAAATGGAGGGTGACAAATAGGCAGTTAAGAGCTTTGCATCTCTTTTTACTTGCACACTGAAGCAATCTGAATCCTGAGCAATCTGTCCAACCCTGAGTTTAGCCAAAGCAGTCATATCCATATTCAGGGAACTACTTGTAGAAGGAGGGCATCAAACTCAAACAGTTATGGTAATTCACTAGTCTCATCAGCCCCTAAAGTTAATGAAATAAAATATAAATGTTCTCAAAACTTACTGAAGACTGAGAAGCTATCGCTGAAAGACTGTCACTGTGAAACCAAACCTCACAGAATGCCTGTCAGATTACCTTAGAGCATTCTTTAAAAGGAGAGACTAAACTCTACTACATGCTTCTGGTAATTTTGAGACCAGTGGTTCCAAATGTGGCTTGCCCTGGGTCTTGCCATCATTGAAGAAGAATTGTATTGTACTATACAGGTTGTGGCAGCTCCTGGCTTGGCCATACACAGGAATCCTATCTGGCTGCCTATACACCTCTTCTCATCTTCTCCCTGAAAAAAATGGCACGTCTATTTTTCTTAATATCATCTTTGCAAATTTCTTCCTATACCGCAATTTAGTAATGATGTTTTCAAAAATAAAGTATATAGATACCATCATGCAGTTTCTTAGCTTCTCTCTGTAATGCTATTCCAGAGGCATATGCTTCTATACATCCTTGGCTACCACACAGGCACTCTGGTCCATCTAAAGATACAACAATATGCCCAAGCTCAGCTGCACAGAAAGAACTGCCATGGATCAATTCGTGTTGATGAACGATTCCACCTCCAATTCCTGCAAAGATATGAAAACTTCTACAATTTTAAAAAAACAAAACCAAAAACAAATCAACCATAAAATACAGTTTTTAAAGGCCCCAATTCTACAGGCCATTGACATTTGCTTATTGTAATACAGACAGGATAAAATGTGCGTTAATCCTATTCTATACTGGAAACCAAAAATTACTGGTTATTGAAGAACTCTTCTCTGTTGGACACAATTAATAAGCAAGCTCATAGGCTCCCCTCCTGTTCATATAGGTATCAAAATGGTATATCATGCTTTTCCTTTCTTAAAAAGCCTAAGGATGTTACTGAACTACTATGACAGACTTTTTTAAGCTTGCGAGCCACGCTCTTTATGCGCAAAACTAACCTTTCAAGTGGCCTTAAAATCCCGCATTTCAGAGGAGATGTTTTAATGCTGTATTTAGACAGCTAAACCTGTGTGCTAGAGAGACAGGACACTTAAATCTACAGTCCTCTGCTGCCCCTTCCCAAACCCTGTGTGGGGATTCATCAGCTGGTTAATGCCACGATTCTAAAGGACTATGTACTTAACAATGGAGAAACATTACCCCACATTTGCTTTTGAGATACAGTAAGCATCATTCAGTTGCTGATCTTCTAGATACGTATCCTGATCTGACTTGGATTTCTGCAGCTGGAAAAGAATTAAGCCATAAAGCTGAAAAAAGCAAAATTATTCCAGCTGAAGTTGCTCAGATTTTCCTTATTTTTGAAAAAATTGTTTGCCTGCATAGCTGTATCAGCGGAACCCCTTTTATCAAGAAGCTTATACTATGCAAAGGTTTCATTTGTCTGAAAAAATTAAAGAGTACCCTAAAAGAAACAAATAGATATAGTGGCAAAAGGATTTTTGGTTTAAGAACCTGGTATATCACAGCTTTGCAGGCAGAGTGGTGGTGTTTATACTTTTAAGATCAGCTGAATCTTTGAATGATGGTGCTGGTATTTTGACTTTGGGTTTCATTGAACATACCCACCTGTACCAGTAATGAGTGTTACAAAATTTTCTATTCCTTTTCCATGACCAAATTTCCTCTCTGCTAGAGCAGCACAGTTTCCGTCATTGTCCACCCAGACCGGCAGGTGCAGAGCATCAGATATTGGAGTTCTGAGATCCACAGAGCTCCACTCCTGAATGAGTTTTGTAGAGTGAAGCACAATTCCTTCTCGAGGGTTTACCCGTCCCCCTGTGGAAATACCTAAGTCCCAGAAATTCAGGAGAGAAAAATCAAAATTAAGTCTGTGTAATACTTTAAGTAAAAGATCTATTTTTTGCTTTACAAAGTCAAGTATTTTTATTTCTAATACTAGGATTTGAAGCAGAGTGTGAAAGTAAAAATTTCTAAGTATTACTGGCAGTGCAATTTCTGACATGTAAAGATCATTCATAGAACTCCATTGCTGCAATCACAATGCACCCAGTATCTTAAGAATAACAAGATGGGTAGTTGTTAAGTGTTAGTCAGAGAGTTAGTGTTCTTACTTCAGGCAAGACTGCAACAAGCCACTTAATACGTCTGTTTCTTTTCAGTCATACAGTAAAGACATACAGCAGCAAACTGTACAAAATAAATTTTTCAAACCCTGGAACAATAGAATTGTCCTGAAATTTCCTGTAACTCTCAAGATTTAGAATGACTAGAAGTAATCACTGGATTTTGAGCAGTAATTTCTACTTAAAAATACACTCCAGAAAAATCAAGATTGTGTTCAGAGATTTGTCTACTGAATGGAATAATGGCTATTAACTCTTAGCCAAACCAGTTTTCTCTAGCTGGAGAGGCTTCCAAAGTTGATGGACTCTTGTCAGGACCTCTGAAAAGCAGGCCCCTCTATTATGGAGCTTATTTAGCTCTAGCCAACAAAGTTTGAACATCTTACCTATTATTCTTGTACAAAGATTGTATCATTGTGTCACCAAATGTTTATTACAACAAAACCTTATTTATACTTACTTGCTAACTCAGCAATAGCTTAGTAAAACACATCTATATTTTCTAAATGCCACAATTCTGTAACTGATGTAAATTACTATGGGAACTAGCAGAAGCTCTGTCTTTATCCTCTTTTCTCTACTATCAGCTCCAGGAAGATAACTTAAATACTGCCTAATTGCAATAAATAGCTCTCACAATTACCTCTGTGCAACATTTGTGTATAGATCTGGGTCTCCTTTGGTTTTAAATCTGTGTAATGTGTAAAAGTTTTAAATTTGTGTAAATTTGTAAATGTAAAAAAAAAAAAAAATAATATCAGTCTGCCAGTGTCCTTTGGGCCTGATAGTCTTTACTTTTCCCTTATTTTCACAAAGCTTTTTTTAATACAAATGCTTTGTTCTGAGTGGGGAAAAAAAAAACCCACAACCAAAACCTCCCAAACTGAAACTAACTACAGAGCTGTTGCAATCAAGACTTACCTGATCATCAAGACAAAAGATGTTGAAAATTATTTTTTTTTCCAGAGTCCTACTTCTTCATCACTCTACAAACCTGTTTTGTATTAGTGGGAGTTCTTCAATCAAAGTTATGCTTGTGTTGCTAGTATTTTGAAAGCTGACAGCAGTTTGTAGGACTAAAAGGAGGAAACAGTTTTTTTCATTGCTTTCTGTTAGTAGCTCTTTCGCCTTATTAATTTCCAATGGTTATTACTTTTAGCCTTACCTATGATAGCTGGAAGGTGGCCACTGTTACTGATAAAAAGTCCAGGATTAAATCCAGCCCTTCTGCTCAGTCTTGCAAAAATTTCACCAAAGTTAAAGGAACTTCTTATGATTATTAGCCTTAATGAAATGACTAGAATCTAATACATTAATTATTCCCATAGGAAGTATGTGTCCTTCTGTAAAGACAACTTTCAATTTCAGCTAGTATTCTGATTCAAACTATGAGTCTAAATGAGGCAAAGAACAGCTAACAAAAATACCCAGGTAAGAAATTTTTTATTCTGCAGCACAACTCATCCCCTCATTACTCAGTAACTGAACAGTAAGCAATCAGTCACAGAAGGAAGGGGGCTGAGGAATAAGTAGGAACGCAATTCTTGTAAAATGACAAACCAAAGGGAAGTTTTTTCTGCATATATAAACCTCTGTAAACCAGTTGATGGTTTCATTATTCTAATAAATGTAGCTGATGGTGAACTGTTCTTAGATACCTGCAACAGTGACTACTGTAGAGTTTACCATCTTTTCTACAGGAACTACGAGGCTTTCATGACTTAGCATTTGGACACAATAAAACCATTTGGGTGGTTAAGTCATGTGTATTACCCAACAGATAGTCTGAAAGATTTGATCTGAAGTTCTGACAGATTTCTTCTGAGGGCTTTGTGTACTTCACATTGCTTTGAAAAATACTTTTAGAAGTTGTTCAAATAAACTTTTCTTCCTATTGTGTGATTCAAGTAAGTTTTGGTTTGGAACAAACTTCTTTTGGAGCATTTCTCATCTAAAATGAGGATTTTATGTCCTCCTCAAAAATCCATTAATTGACACCTTCATAAATAACTGCAATATCTAAAACCAGGGCTTCCGGTCATGATGAAACTGAAGAAGTCCTGTCTGGTATAAACACATAGTTTAGCTTGGAACTCTACTACAGCGTAAGTAAACTGGATATCAACAAATGGCTGCTTTCATGTCTTTTAGCTGCAAATTTAATCTAACATTTTAGCCTTTTTAGTCTGCCCTAGTGTAACTGAGGATTTTGCTGCACAGTTGATCGTTGATCCTGGCCATAAAGAAAGGCTTACAGACAACAGAGGAAACTTGACCCAGCTGCAGTTGTTTCAAGAGCTGTTTCAATATACATTAAGCATCTGATTCACAATTCTGAGACTTCAGGGAGCTTCAATATCCACAAAATCTACATACCACACATTTTAGCTATAGTTTAGATATAACTTAGATTGCTTTCAAGGCTGTTACAGACTGGGGCAACTTCAGTCTTTATAGTCAGCTTCTCTTTTTCACAGACATTTACGCAAGTTTTTGTGTTAATATAATTTCAGAGCTTAAAATGCACAAAACTGATTTGAGAAAAGTAATTTAAATTAATCAGTAGTGATTTCATTTAATGTTGAAAAACTTAATGAAAATACAAAGTTAGTATTTGTTAACTTACCTACTCCCAAAATTCTGCAGTTCACATTTACTGCCTCCGATGCAGCCTCTATACACATCTTTAGAATCAATTCTAGCCTGTCTTCATAAGTTTTAGGGTTGAGCTGGGTATACTTCTTAACTATTTCACCCTAGAAATTAAAACCAACAAAACATGCTCCATATAAATGTACTTGATGATGAAATTTCTCTTCGATTTAAACTACAGGTCAGCTTGTAAATGGAGAGTCATAACTTCTCTCTTAAAAATAATACAGGTGGATGTCTTAGATGTTAGTCCTACAGGGTGTTTCTGACAACTCTGGGGGACAAGTTTGCAAGATTAGGCTTTACATTCTGCTTCTGTAATCGACATCCCCTACCTGAAATAAAATACATATTTTAAGGAACACATGGATTGTCTAAGGAAATGTCACAGGAGTTACTGGAACTGTTGTTAGGAGTAAACCATGATAAAGCAATGCACTTCAGCTCAATACTATAAAGAGTTTTAAAAAAGTAAGAGAGTAGCAATTGCTAAAAAGGACAGAAAACCCATAGTGATTGAAGAATAAAATGTTTCCAGTTTCACTACATGAAAGTTCTGCATGGTGTCACAGACACTGCTATTTTACCAGCAGGAAGAGAGTCAGCCAGAGAGAAATGCTAGATGTTTCAATGCAAAATTTACTGTCCTTTCAGAAATAACTTTTCTTCTAAGCAATTACACTTCTGACTAACTTGAAATATTTCTGGAGTACTATCTACCATGATATATGTTGTATGGGGGAGGGAGGGTCCAGGAGGAAGGAATTATTTTCAACCCTAGAAGTCATGCAGTGGTAATGAAAGCATTCATTATCCATGCCTGAATCTGGGGGTACTAAGGAACTCATCTTAATGTAATGTCAATATTGGAAGATTAGGCCAGGAAATTGCATAAAATATGCTGCTCAATGATGTTATTCTCCCTATTATATCCTCACTACTCTACAACATATCTACATGAACAGCAGTGTATTAACACAACTAAGCAAAAAGGAGTAATAAAGACAGTCTATATGCAACATAGGAGAGTCACCGTTGCCAAAACAACTTAGAAAATTCCAAGACATCAATGGTTTGAGTATTAGATCCTACCATCTCAGCATCACATCAGCAATAGGGTTTGGGGATTTTTATGATATTTACTTTCCCCTTCATTTTTGGTTTGGAGGGGGAGGGGAGTCAGAGGAAACTATTTTGGAAGGCAAGACTGCAGCAAACATTATCAGGAGACATAATAGCTTTTAAAAGGAGGTTTTGAAAACTCAGTTATTTTGTTCGTGAAGAAAACCCCTTCAACTCTGTCATTTCCTGTTAAATGCTTACACCTGTTGCATAAATTTTATTATGAAAGTCTGGTCCTTTTCACTCTGACTTGCTAATATTTCAACTTTCATAAATGCCACCTCATGCTACACTCTGCAAAATGGACAGGATTTTTTTAAATTAATTTTTTTCCTGGCTGTGTTGGCAGAAAATGTGGTGTCAATTTTACTTCTAAAAAAATTATACATTTGCAAGTTTTCTTTAAAATCTTAAAGATCTGCCAGACATTATTAAATTAATACGAAAATTCTGGATCATATCAGATCAATTTACATAGCCTTTCATCTTTCTTCAGGAAGCTTGCTTTTTTCTTTCTGGATAAATATGTCTAACTGATCTAGCTATCTGGAAGTAGGCAGTGTAACAGTAGGAGTAATTGTCCAATACTTTTGAGCATAAAAGCCAAAGACTTCTCAACGTGAGTTTTATTCGCATCTTTAAAGTGCTGCAGAGTTCAGGATTTTTAAGGGTTTTTTTAACCCCTCCAGGAAGATGGGTATCTAAATGAGTTAAAACTCTTCAGTCCTAACTAGCCTTTAATTTATCAACTTGGATTCGAATTATATCAAATATTTTTACACCATCACCAAGTAATCTTTCTAAGTTAGCTGTCGAACATTTGTAGTATGTTGTCTACAGCAGAGCTATGCAAGCAATGCATACTTAGTGCTATGACACAGGTAAACGAAAGCTTCCTGCTGTGCCATTACCAGAGAAATGGGTTGAGGAACTTCTAAGCATGGAGACCATTACATCACATAGTATCCCTAAACCTGAACATCTCTCCATCCTTACAAAGCTGTAACTTTAAGCCTATTTCAAATAGGTTACTTTGACAGGAAGAGAGGGGCTTCAGACTCACAATCTTACTCAATCTTTAAAGTCTCTATGAACTCTAGAGTATGTATCAAATTCTACTTACTCTGATGATGGTATTAAACCATCAAGCACCGCTTTTCATGCATCAAAGCACATGGTCAACACAATTAAAAAACCAAACCAAAAAGCCTGATAGGAATCATCATACAACTCAAACCCACCACCCTTTTCCACTGCAAGATCAATAAACTATAATTCAGCTGGTTTTAAGAGACCTTTTCAAACCACTTCCTACTATTTCAGCAATGAAAACACCATACCCTACCAGGCTATCTATTCCAGCCGTCTCTTGCATTGACAGCCAAGCTGGATAATAAGAAAAACTTTAAAATAATTTTCCCTTCTGCCCTTTTAATACTTTTCTACTTCTTCATGCACAAGTGAATCTGATTTTTCTCTTTGTGGAAGAGGTTTCTACATATCTGAAGGCTTTTTTTTTTTTCCCCAGTTTCCTCTTCTCCAGACTGAACAAATCCAGTTTCTTAAACTTTTCCCTGTTTTCCATGTCTGTAATAATTACTATGGTTTTTCTCCTGATTCTCTCTCCAAATGGTCTACATCTCTGTGGTGTGATACATTATGGTGACACTGTTCCAGCTGAGGCTTGGCACTGTCTTAATGATTGTGCTTCTATGCAAGTAGATACTGAGAATTTTTGATTATGGCCTGTTCTTCTCTTGGTAGAAGAGATGCAAAGTTTTGTATGTTGAACCCAACCACCATGAACCACTCTCCCTCAGTAAACTGCTTTGCTAGATGCTGGTTGTTGCTCAAAATGGTTGTGTATGTCCACTACATGGCTGTGTAAGGCAGCCACGAAGTAAAAAGACTGCTCTTGGAGCCTTGCCCTTTTTTGCTCAACCTACAAAAAGCTGCAGGGTGAACTGAGTCACCTTTTATAGGAAACCAACACATCTGAAAGTTGTCCTATTCTTCAAGGTCTGTATGACTCCACACAGAGAGGGAGCAGCTAGGACCATGCATCAGCAAGTGGGCTTTGCCAGTTTAACAGCAGCCTCAGAAGAGCAAACCAGGAGGCAAATTGTATCAAGACTGTACGAGAGGTGCAACAAAGGAGGGAAAATTACCTTACCCCTCAACGCCAACAGCCAGTAGGACTGCTTTGTTTTGGAGCTCTTTTGCTTCATAACCCCATATCCCCACTGCAGGAGCAAACCCACAAAGCCCAATGGAGTTTGCAGAATATCTAAAAAGCACAACAGAATATTTACCTTCATACTGACAATTGCTACTCGGAGATTTGTTCCACCTAGATCCACAGCCAGAGCACTCTGTGTCTCTAGAATGTGGTCAATATCTTGAGAGATATTATCTTTGACAGGAGGAAAACAGAATTTCTTTTGCAGTGGCTCTTTGAGGTCAATAGATTTGAGAAACTTCAAAATCCTTGGGACAGCATTACCATCTCCGTATATTTTTGAGCTATAATATGAAAAAAAGAACCAATTTAATTGGAAATAATAATAAAATCTGTAAAGTTCTTTATATGACAGAAGACTGTAACACTGTGTCACTACAAAATTATGATATAGCTACTATGACAACACTGCAGCTCACACTACCCAAGTCTGTTATGGGGTATGGTAGGTAGTGTCAGTAGTTTGAAGATCACACTGTTGACTGTGCAAGTTGGGCATTAGCTCAATTTTGGAATACAAAACATGGAATGTAGAAAACTGGAATGCTAATGATATCAATAAAAACAAAATTAAGAGTTTAATGAAAGGATGCACATTATAAAGCTCTAAAATTATGGAACGTTTATGTACATGCTACATGTCCAGACAAACTGTACTTATCACACAGATGACAACGGCACATTCATGTCAGTTTGCAACACGTAATTCTGGTTTTAAAATATTATCATACATGGTGTCAGACATCTGGTATTACAGAATTCAGTTTTATTACTCTGTTGAGGTTCTTAAGAAGTATACTTTTGATTCTTATCCTTAATTAGGGAAATATTGTCTCTTGAAGTTTGTAAGAACTTAAAGAACTGAGAGTCAATACTGTAGGGCTGAAGAATAACAAAGAGCATCTTGCTATAATCCTGCAGCTCCCTTGGAAGCTTGCACTCAGGACTTGCTATGTATTGTGCCTGAGCTCAATCCAGTTATAAAGTAGTGTGTCCTTCAGGCACAAGTCAGAAGGTAGGCAGACAGGATGTTCTCCCCCATGCTGCTCCTATGGAACAAGCTCTCTTAGTCATCCTAGTCCAAGCTACCATACGAATTTTGTCCTCTTCATTCCTGTTGGATGTTAAATTACTAGTTATATCAGAATATTACTAGTAATATTTTGCTCTACAAGTACTAATCTGCATATTGAACATTGCACTGTGATTCTGAATGATGCATGAGGAATAAAAAATAATTTGTAACCTCAGACTAATGCATTAAAAGCACTCCAATCAAGCATGATAAACCACCTCAGGACTGAATGCCTTTTACTCCACTGCTTCAACACCCCCTGCAATGAAGCAAGATGAACGTATTTACCATGGATACTGTTTACCAAACTGCAGCTGCAGAGCATGCAAAATCTTATCCTGTGTATCAGCATCACGAACGTGAAGAACATTTTCACCTGGATGACAGAAGTTAACATAATAGGACAGGTCAGCTCCTCAAATTACATTAGAGGATAAGAACTGCTTTAGAAATAAAGAAATAATTATTTTTGTTTCCTCTGAGCAGGAAAGACTCCAGCCAGATTGACATCACTTTTCATCAGTAACATGCCTCTCCTTGCTCCCAGTAAAGCAATGGTGATTCCTATGATATGCTGTCATGCATTACAAAACACTAGAGAGCAGAATTTTATTATTAAATTTAAAATGCATGAGTAAAAACAGGGTGTAAATGACTATTTGTGTCATATCTGCATATCTGTAAAATACCACAATACAGTTACTTGCTGATGGGTGAAGAGTTCATATTTTTTGAAGTGAAATTTTAATACATGTCAAACATCGAACTAGCTGTATAAAGGTAAACAATTAGTTCCCTATTCTGCTAAATGGTATCCACTGCAAATGGAAATATATAAAGATAAAAGCCTCATTATCTTACGTAAAACACACAAGCAGCACTAACATGATACAGGAATAGCCAGCGAAGCTTTAAAATGGGTCAAAAATTATGTTGCACTGATACGGCAAGATGGCCTCTGTCAAGCATTCGTTCGACTTTATCCTGTGGAACAAAAAAAGCCTCAGAACCATGAAGAAATTTAAGTAGTTAAGCAAACATGTACCTGTTTCTCTTCCTGTCTGACGTGTCCCCAAGTTGATGACAGGTGTGCCAAATGCTCCCACCTCTCTGACACCACAACTGCTGTTACCAATCATACAACCAGCATGAGCAACTAGCTGAATGAACTGGTCAAATGGGACATGCTTTACTGCCCGAAAATTGGGATGATGTTCAATGCCCTTCTTCCTCATCACCCGAACCATCTCCTTGCTTCCTACAGAAAAACAAGAGGTAGAATAAATGAATAATTTATTATATAAATTACTACATAAATAATTATTATATAAGTATATATTTATTACAAGTTCTATTGTTAAACATGCAAAGGAGCCAATAGCTGTTCATTGAGTTGCCAGCTCCAATTTGGTTTTGTTCTCTTTTTATCCTCACAGTCTAAGTTGCAGAGCTGGGCCCAAGTTTTTAGTTAATTTAAAAGGCACTAATATTGCTTCTACGTGTCACATGGTTTCCCCCTTCATCTTCCTCCCCACACTGAAAAGCTGAAATGTCCTCCAGCAATGTAAACATGGAGCTGCAGTGGATGCAAACCTGATGCTGAGACCATCCAGCTATTTCCATCTTGCTGGAGGTTCTAGGATAAAAGCACTCCATAAGAACCAATGTATGCTTTAAAGACAAGCTGCTATGTGTCCCATTTTACTCACCTGCATCCACATTAGGGAACAGAACAAGTGTTCTCTTGTTGAAGGAGATGAGTGCATCTAATGTCAGCTCAAACATCTTTATGGAATGTTTAATATCTGTGGTTACAGGATGTTGCAGAGCAACTATATAATCTCTGGTTTTGACATCTTCACCTGTCCAAATGGAGCCCAAGAAAAAGCTTTTGTTATTGGCATAGAATAGTAAGAGGAAGGGAAGAAATACTTTTGAAACTACCAGTGTGAAAGCCTGAACAGTCAAGGCACTGAATAAGATATCTAACACATAAATTTCAAAGCTACAAAAACTCAAAGAAGTACCAGGAGTATCTAGCTTGTTATTTGCCTCCTTAAGCAAGTCTTATAACTTTAGAAACCACTACGTAAACCCCAACAAATTGTTAACTTGCAGGCCTACATCTAAAGCTTTGCAATACTATACCAGGGTCAAGAGCCTGTTCTCACACCAGTGTAAATCTGGAGTAACATGAAAGCCCTGAAGCTGCTCAGGTTTTCTGTCAGTTCTCCATCCTCAAGCAAAGACTTCATTCCCATTTTAAATTTTAAAAAAGTCAGTCATACTTGTTTTAGTATATTTGATAAAAAAGTTTGTCTACAAAATATTCACCTACTCATCTAAGAAGATTCCAGCTTCCAACTACACGGGTTACTGTGCCACATAGGAAATTGCTTTGTCAAAGATAAAAAGCAAACACAAAACCCCATTGTTTACAGGAATTCTTTGTAAGTAAATTAATATGAACACCAAAAGCCTTTGGTGCATGTTCCCCTGTTGCACTGCATTCCTTCAAAGAATGTTGATAATATAAATTCCCTTTGATTTTCTTTACATTAGCCCTGAACAGCTGATTCTATTTAAATACATCCTTTACACCAAAATAACTGTTTATATAAGACTGTCCTGTTTTTAAATTGTTCAGCTCAGAGAAATTACCTATTTAAGGAGTTATTTTATTTGGCAAAAGGACCAGATGTGTGTACTAGAACAGATTTGTAGCTTTCCACCTCTACATGGTAGAACACAGATCAAAATAAAAAGAAAATGTAAAGAAACAATAGACACTGTTACCAAATATCCTATTTTTTTTGAGAAGAAGCAGGCTGATGCTTGATAACCATCTCCAATTAAGCAAACTTAAACTTACTAGCAAGAAGTCTGTCTGTTTCTTTCCTGTACTTTTCTCAGAGCCACTGGTCAACAGATTCCACAGGCTGATAACCTAGTTACTGCGTTTGTCTAGTGTTGAAAGTCATATGAAAAACATACAAAGTGACTGCTCACCTAGCCACATGCGTATAATACTCATGTAGTCCTTATTTTTGGCAGAGAGAAGCTTGTCATACGAGGGACAGCCTGCTAAAAGGATGCGGTCATGGTCTTCACACATGGCTATCAAATGCTGCTCTGCACTCCTTGTGCAGCACACGTGGTAATGGGCCAGTTTGGTTATAGCATGTCTGATAGAGTCATCAATGGTCCCACTGACTTCCCCACCTTCAATGTGAAGAATGCGAATATTCATCAGGGCTGCAGATGTGGCTAGGGCCAAAGCATCAAATCTGTCCCCATGAACTATCATTATGTCAGGTTTTAGGCGGTTCAGGACATCTGGTAACTTCACTAATGCAAGGCCCACTGACTCCACCATAGCTGCTTCATCCTCCCCTCTCACAATGGTGTGCAATCTTGTATGAATATCGAAGTCATCTTGTTCAATCATACGATAGGTGTTACTGAAGGTAAGAAGAAAAGGGTTAGAATAAATACAACTTGGCTTTACAGCAACATAGCTTGACAAAATAACTGCGTTTTAGAATAGTTGTACTGGGTTTGAACAAAGGCCTGCTTATCACATCTCCTTCACTGAGGAAACTAGTTTTTAAGATTTCAACATCATCCATAAGAAGATCTTCCCTCGTATTCCAAGCATCAAGTTTTTCTAGACACCTTTAATGAGGAGCCTTGCTGAACATGTTCTGGAAACCCTCAGAAATCAAACTCTTTATTCATGTGATTGCAGAGCCTTTTGGAGAATAGATATGGCATGATTTCCTTTCAGGAAAGGTATGTTGACTCCTCACTAATGTATCGACTTTGCTGGACAAATGTACAGATACAACAGACATGATGCAAACCTGAGGCCTGTATGTTCAAGGAAAACATGTTGCAGCTAGCATCCATTTTTCAGATTCTGTCTTTGAGTTGTAGCAAGACTTACAGACTTAAAAATCACTGCACAAAGAAGCACTAAGTTCAAATTAAATGGGCTTTTGCACTAAAGAAAAGGTTTTCCACACATATTACCAGCTTCATTACATAATGAGAAAATTAAAATATTCCTTGGATACTGAGAATTGTTATTGTTTACAGTTACGCCTTTGAAATATGAAAGATCATGCATCTGTATAAGATTACCTGTCTTCCACATTCACTAAACCTGCCATAAGTAGTCTGCAGACACCCAAGCAGTACTAGGGTTTAAAAATACTGACCACAAAGCAACTAACAACAACATGTCAGATCAAAATCTCTATTGCTTTGTGCATTATAAATCAGTTACATCAGAGAGACAGGTTTTAAACATCTTGGAACTGAAAAAGTAGTACTTCACGTTAGTTTGCACAAGTCTTGGAGACAGCAAAGGGTTCAAGACTACAGAAAAATCAGGGCCGTCTTTCTCCTCTTCAACAAATGAAATGGGATTACTGTACTTCTCCAATCGAGCACGATGCAATTCAGCATGCTAATCTGGCAAGAAGTTTGGGATTTTTTGTTTATTTAAATCAGGTTAGTTTTGTGGTGTTGAATTCACCTTGCCATATTATGTTATTAGATGGAAACAGCATCCAGAACGAACCAAGGAACAGAGCGCTATATTGAGAATGGGCAGCAGCGGAACTTCCAGTCTTGGTAGTTTGATAATACAACTTCCTCACACTGTAACTTACAAAGTGTCAAAAATTCTCAATGCCAAGTCCAAAGAAGTCTTTACTTGAAGATATGCGTAACATTTCTAAAAGCTCAACAATGCTGATATGCTGCAAGCCTTATGCTAAAGTCAGATTTTGACTTGCAAAATAAGTGTTTTCCTTTCTATTTCACTTACTGTGCCCAGTATGGTAAATGCAGGCTGAGCAAAAACAACAACCACAAACCCAGCAAGAATACGCATGCTGTCCCTTCTGCCTTTTCTCCAGCAAACAGGAGAATATTCACCTGGGACATGGGAATTCCTTCCAAAGGAAGCGATTTGGACCAAGACATTCCATCCTCCTAGGCAGGTGGTCTGACTGCTTATTTACAGAGTGTTATAGAGGGGACCCTAATCTCTCCTGCCACACCATACGTAATACATCTATCAGTTACTCATTCTGTCAGAAAGAGACAACCACCCTTTCCCTCCTCCACAATCCTGGAAGTAACAACCAACAGTATTCCCCTGAGATATGGAATATATAAGCTTCTCCAGTATCTAAGTTTCTCTACTAACTATGCAAAGCAAAAGAGCTGTAACTTAAAATGACTTAAGATTATCTTTTCTCTGTGATAATTAAAAACTGTAACACGTTTTCTTTCCATAATCATCAGATTCTTAGGGAAATCTAAATGAATTGAGTTTCTCAGTTCATATAGTCTGTGATGCTGTTAAAGATCTCAATTACAGCATTTACAGAATACTTTCTAAAATTCCAAGATTGGTTGAAAAAAATACAGAAATATGCCATCTCAGAAGGAGCGGCAAAATGAAACAAAATCTGAAAAAATACATTCAAGTTTTTATTGTGTACATTCATGATGACAACCATTTTGTATCCAACATTCATGACGTTATCATTAACACCCCAGAAACAGATTGGCAGATACAAAGAAATCACCTTACCCATAATCATCAATCAGGTGGGAACCAAGCACTACAACATCAAGCTCAAAAAACTGTGGTTCTGCCTTAATACCAAACATAATGGGAGCTAATTTTGAATAATCAGCACGGTTGCAAGTAGCAACACAAACACGAAGTTTGTGGTTGTTTCCATTCTTCTCCATGACTTCTTTTTGTTTCTGTTTTGAAAGATTCTTGAAATACACTTCCTGAAATAGGAAAATAAAAAGGAAGCAGCATTAATAATAATATTTATAGCAAGTAAATGGTGGACTTCATGCACAGCATACACAAGGGCAGCCCAGAATCATGGACATACACTAACTCATCCACTGATAACGGACAACTGATACCTTACAGTATCTATCATTAGAAGACTTTAGAAAAGGACAGTTGGGGGTTTTTTGAGTTAAAACTCACTTAATTTTAATACCTCTATAAGTAATACATAAAAATTCTATATAAACAATATTTAACTATTATGAAGTTCAACTGTATTAAACAGGAAAATGACCTTTTTTCTGTTCAGACAGAAAATTCTGTATAAGTGGAAAAACTATTGATGCCTTAGTAAATGAAAGAAAAAAAATCTCATATTCCAAAACCACACAATGGAACAAACTGGTAAAAGATACATCCACTGACAGACTCTGTGGACAAAAAGAGAAAGTTTTTGCCTGAGTCCGTTTATGTATCTGTTAAACACACTTTGATGAGGTAAAGCGAGTTAAACATTGACTTCTAAACCCTTCCATACTATTTTGGAGGCCAAAGTACATCAAGATATTCAGTAAGACAATATTAGATTACAATAACACAACAACTTTTGAAGTCAAGGACACAAATAAGGATGATGATGATCATCAGGCAATTTGGAGGCTATTGGGGAAAAAATAAAAGCGTGGGGGTTTAAAGGTTTTCTGACAGTTGAAATGCCACAGAGACACAGTATTTTACAAGCAACATCAACTGTTACTGTAACAAGATGATTTCCCTAATCCAATTTTACAGCTTTGTAAACTTTAATTATAATTTAACTATGTTATCTTTTTTAATGTTTACCTATACGCTGTTTACCATTTTGCCTTCCTGTTTTTTTGGTGGTTTTGTTTTTGTTTTGGGTTTTTTTTTTCTTTCATCTAGCAATTAAAGAAAAAAAAACATTTTACAGAAAAAGAAAAGCCTATTAAAAAAAGGATACAGCGATAACTCCCCCAAAATAATCCAAATTTCCTCTCCCTCCAAACAGAAAGTACTAAATTGGTAGCAGAGGGTACCAGACCACCTATTCATAAGTTTTCTGTTGTTCTGCTTTTGAAAGTGACTGGATTTCATGTAAGTACCATCCTGTCGGTATGAAATCTAACATTATGTCGGATTTTTACTCCAGCTTAATGGCAAGTAAACTTTTTCCAGATTAATGCACAAGGATTGCTCAGCTCTGAGTTAGACAGAGCAGTATCAGTCTCTCTACTGGTTTTGATAGCTAGGGAAGCTCTTTCTGAGAAGCTGCTATGCAAGCACGACACTACTGACATCCAATTTCACGCTCCTTTTATATTACATTTAATTTTTTTCAGTGAATTTTTAAAAGAAAAAGCTATTGTGACACACCCCACCCCCACCCCCCAAACGTACAAAATTCAACTACTTTCCAAAGATTTCCCTATTTTTAACACAGATTAGTTCAGGTTTTATCACACATAGTGAAACAATGTTTTGGTGTAATAGTCATGTTACGGTGATCAAGAATCTATCCCAAGTTCTCCAAGGTGAGAGGCATTTCTAATCTCCACTTGCAATCTAAGATGGCTCTCCAAAACTATGACTGGCAGTGATTTTTCTTCTAGTTTAACTCCAACCACCATGATTCCTGAGGGAGAAGTTCACACTACCTTTCAGAATGAAACTGAAGTGACAAAAAGCAAAGACAGCTGCCATGACTAAGCTCGTAAGAAAGGGCATTTCTCATTTACTCAAGCAAAGCAGCTGTGGCTACACCAAGCAACTTCAGTACAGCAGATACAGCAAGGAATTTCAGTATTTCCTTAATACCATGACAAATTAAGCTAAGTTCTATGGATTCAGCCATAAAGTAATAGGTATTATTTGTTTTACATTGAGCCCCTTCATTTTAATTTACATTTGAACCTTATTTCTAAAGTAATATATTAATTAGTCACTGTTTTACACTATCAAAGGGTCAGGTGATAATCCTGACCCTTTGACAGTGTAACTCAATATATCAATTACTTCCTCATGCTGAAAACATCTGCAGTTATGTGCATATACGATGGCAGTTTTAATTTAATCTTGTCTTTCTTTTTGCCCAACGGGCTTCGGGTATTTCAAATGTATGTAAGAAATTCAGTACCTCGTGTTGAAAACATAGAGAGAGTTCTTTGCAGGATTTTAGATGCTGTATAAAGGTAGGTGTTACCCTGTATCACCGCGTGAAACCTGAAACCACATCAGCTAGATTCAGATCTAACGGAACCACCACTGCTTTCTCATTTTTAAAATAACCTCTCTTTGGAGGGTGGTTCTGAGCAGGACATCCCGTCGTTGCATGGGTAAAACCAGCTACTAATTCAAATAAATTAAAATTCAAGATGTGAAGGCCACTTCTGAGATCCCTGTAAGCTCGCCTTTGAAACTGCACGAATGGCGTTAGCGTAATTTGACGCAAACCTCTCACAAAGCTCTTCAAGTCAGCCACTCCTGCATACATATGGTATACTATAGAAACTGAAATGCCAGAGTAACAGGGCACAGAATGTGCCAAAAGTGAGCTTACCCAAAGTCTGCTTACTCCAAATTACCTGCCTGAGCTAGAACCACCATTTCCCCTCCGACACAGCAGTTACCTTTTCATTTATGCAAAGCAAGCTTTTAGGAAGCAGACTGGTTTTCTGTCCTCCTTGATCTTCAAGCACTATCTAAAAATCTAGAACACTTCAAAACAAATCCAGAAAATACCATCTCCTAAAAATAGCAAGTCTGTAAGTTGTTAAAAAAACCAAACCAAACCCCCAAACCCTCATGGTTCACCATAACCACAGACCTACCAGCACTGAACTGCTAGGTCGTACGTCTTCCTGGCCACATGGATCGCATTTAATTACCGTGGCCATTGGCCGCAGTAATGGTCCCTTGAAATAACTTCAGATATAGATGTGGGGACACTTCAAAGGCATACGGACTGACTAGAATGAAAAGCAGTTCGTGCTATTTGTGTATTTCAACTTCTGTTAACATCAGGTTTCTGTAAGCCCCAAAGCAGAACTATTTTTAGTACTGCCTTAAACCTCTGCAACACAACAGTTTCAAAAAGTTGCAAGGCCCTTGGTGCAGACACAGTTTGTCTGTTTGTCTCATTTTTAACCCATGTTTTTCTGAAGAACCAAAACATTTACCCTAGCAAAAGGACTGACAAGGATGCAATGTAAGTGTTAACTACATGGGGAAATTTAGCACTAATTAACTTTATTGTTTTTCAGGTTAAGTTGGATGGCGATTTCTAAAGAGACATGTGATGTACTTCTACATCACAGTTTAAAACCAGACAGAATCCTGTCTTGACTCCGAGCTACTCTGAGCCTGCTAATGCAAAAATAATTCTGTATTTTCAGAGAGCAATCACTGTCAACAAGAAATGGCAAAGCCCCCTCAACCGTTAACAGCTACATCCTGTAACTTCAACCATTAACGGTTACATTCCTTCAAGCAGAGCTGTAACGCCCTAGCTATATAATTTTAAGTTTGCTGCCACTATCATTTTAGAATTTATTAACAAGTTTTGCAGGCTTTTCAGAACCATTCACTGACATTATTTTAAATAATTAATCACCAACAGTTGCCTCTTAGCTTCTAGCTGTTTGACGACACACTGAGTTTGATCTAGCCAGCCTTCTCTAGTCTGGGATCTTCCTGTTGCGAGGTCTACCTCTTCCCCCTTGCTGGGGCTAGTGGTCTTCAGCAGAAAGGAGAAGCAAAAAAAACAGTGCTCCATGGAGGACTACTTGAAATAACGAATCTCTGCTTGTTTTGGTCTACTGCTCTTCCATATCCCGTCTTAAGGCTTCTGGACTATTAGAGGTTCAAAGACTTTTTAGGACCGGGTAATTCTGGGCCAGATTTCACCGTTTCTGTTAGAAGTCTCAAGTGCACGAGACACCCCTTTATCGGTGTTCCACAAATGATCCCACCTGTATGTTCTGCATTCACATTTCTAAAGCGACGATTTTTCAAAGCCGACGAGCCTAGACTACTCCCCTTCACAACCTCTGCGCCCTGCCCCTGCGCTCGCGGAGCCACCTCATCCCCCACCCCCCCACCCCGGCTTCGCTGCGTGGTACGCTTACAGGTATTTCGGCCCAAAACTCTTCCCGCACCACGTACCGCGACGTGCAGGGGACCACGCACGAAGGCCTTTCAACCTCCCGCCTAGAT